TTTTTTGGCCATTCTAATGTGTGTAGTAATATTTCATTGTGGTCTTAAATTGTATTTGCCTAATGGTAATGACTAATTATATTGACGTTGAACATCTTTTTGTAGCCTTATTTGCCATTTGTATATCTCTTTGATGAAATGTCTCTTGTGTTTTGCCAATTTTCTAATTGGATTTTTTTAATGTTGAATTTTAATGTCAAGCATTATTTATATATTTTAGCTATGAGGCCTTTGTTAGATATGATATTTGAAAATATTTTCTCTTACTCTGTAGTTTGAATGTCCGTCTTTTTAATAGGGTCTTTTTAGAGCACAGGTTTTTAATTTTATTGAAGACCAACTTATCGATTTTTTAAAATACATACTGTACTTTTGGTGTCATCTCTAAGAACTCTTCACCAAGTCTCAAGTCCCAAAGATTTTTTTCCTACATTCTAAAATTTTATAGTTTTTTTTTTTTTTTAAAGATGACCGGTAAGGGGATCTCAACCCTTGGCTTGGTGTTGTCAGCACCACGCTCAGCCAGTGAGCAAACCGGCCATCCCTATATGGGATCCAAACCCGTGGCCTTGGTGTTATCAACACCGCACTCTACCGAGTGAGCCACGGGCCAGCCCAAATTTTATAGTTTTTCATTTTACATTTCAGTTTGTGATTCATTTTACATTAAATTTTGTTTAAGGTGTGAGGTGCAGTTCAAGGTTCATTTTTTTAGGCTATGACTATCCAGTTGCTCCCACATGACCTATTGAAAGAGCTGTCCTTCCTCCATTGAATTTCTTTTGAGCACTTTTGTCAGATATTAGTTGGCTGTACTTCTGGGAGGCTATTTCCAGTTTCTCTATTCTGTTCCATAGGTCAATGTGTCAATTCCTCTGCCAGTAGAGGCTCAATCCCACAGTCTTGACTACTGTAGCTATTTAATAAATCTCAAAATCAGGTAGAGTGATTCTTCCCACGTCATTCTTCTCTTTTAGAACTGTTTTAGTTATTTTAGTTTCTTTGCCTTTCCATATAAATTTTAGAATAATCTTTTCTATATTTGTGGGAAAAAATGTTGCTGTTATTGCATTAAATCTAAATGTCAATTTGGGGAGACTTGACATTTTTACTATGTTGAGTCTTCCAAGTCATTAACACAAAATATTTTCCCATCTATTTAGATCTTTAACACATTAAAGCATAGATTTATAAATTCTTTCTCCTTTCACTTGGACAATATAGGGAATTTAGAACTGTTTTCCCCATATTAACTTATAGATTATTGAAGATATATATGGTAATTTCATCATTCTAACTTCAACAGGAAATATAATTATTTTATATAGTTAATTAGTGGTTGTATAAATCCACCATTACACACACCTCTTACTTGGATTCTCATTCCTTCTATCATAGCAGAACTTTCAACTGGGATCCCATTACTTTAACCATAAACATAATTTTTAGGTTGTCATTTTATACAGTGTCCCGACCCGCAGGATATTCAACGCAGACCCTGGAGGGGGGAGTGGGAATGGGAAAGGAGCAAGAGACGCAAGAGATGGGAGACAAGACAGTATTCTGATCAAGTCTCGTTTAATGAGGGAAATAAGCTCCTTTTATAGAAACTCACAGGTGCAAGAGAACAAAAAACAATGGGTGGGGGTGGAGGTCATGAAGAGTTCTTATGTAACCATCTTTTCTCGTTTTCTCGGGTATCGCTGTTACCGTCAGTTTTTTTTTTTTTTTT